CCTGCAAACAGACATTAAACAATCCACAACTATCCCTTGACTCCTCTTATTCTTTTCAGAAGGTACTAAGCAGAAAGAGCATGAGGAGAGGAGCAGGACTGAAGCAAGGGGAGAAAAACAGAAGAGGGAAGTTGCACAAATCTAGGGAGAGTAAATGCGAACAAGACTGCAAAAGACAGAGTGAGAAAGGGAATAGGAGTGAGCTAACCATCAAGAGTTTTTGATTCCAACCATAAAACGTTTCTTTAAGAATGCCCATGGAATTAGCCTGCTCAAAGAAAGCAATCGCAATCGATTCAATCCTCTCTTAGAAACTTTCAAACAGCCACCTAGCGCTTAAGAGTCTCTGCGGGACATAAAATAGCTTCTCACCTTTTCGCTCTAACCCCTCTTTTTTCCTTTCTCAGTTTCCCTTTCCCTTTGCCTGCCATCTCTACATTGGCAAGCTGTCAAAATGAGAAGAAATCTTTAAGTGCAGAATTGAAAATTGGGCTCCATCCACACGTTTCAATTTGTGTTTAGCTCTCTCACTACACTGCCACTTGTCTGCTACACATGGATATCTGGGTCTTCCTCAGCAGTGCTGTTTAAAAGGTCCAATAAAATCTGTGCAGTGCCCCGGCTCTTTACGGATCTACAAGCTGTTTTAGTAAGTGGCCTACAAAGGTTCAAAATGACTGCAAAATACTCCTTTAATGTCTACTATGATGTATTAGAGTAAGAAAAGCAATGATGGCATAATAATGCTTCTATTGATGGATGCTTTATTTATGTTTGAGTTGAGCTTTAAATAACACATTCACAAAGTTTTATCACGCATTAGTCCTTGCAGAGGTCACATTCTCACTAACTTAATGCTGCATTCTGAAAATGAGGTTTGGATACATTTACAGTTGAAGAGGGAACTGACAAGGGCTGGCATTTGGTAGACTGAGAAGCAAATAGCTCCAAATCAATCCAAATAGCTCTTTGTTCTCTTGAACAGGATAGCCCTGTTAAAGTGGAATAGAAGAGAAACTTTGAGGTAAGTTGGCCTAAAGTTGTTGTATTTATAAGGAAAAGAGTGTAGAGACAAATAGCTGTCCATAGGACAGAGTGTCCAACAGTGGGGAAACCAGGGCAAGAGACTCCCCAATGGATTCTTGAAGTGTGAAGAGAGGAGAGTAGAGGTGAGGAGAGGGGAGGGGAGGTGAAGAGAAGAGAAGAGAAGAGAAGAGAAGAGAAGAGAAGAGAAGAGAAGAGAACTTCTGAAAGATAACCTCTGCAGTTTCAGAGTTCGGTGAACAAAAGCAGGTGGAAGAGAAGGAGGACGACAACAGAATGAGGAAAAGTAGGAGGACGCTCCAGAAAAGCAGGAGAGTGAGGTAGAGGGAGAGAAGATATTTGAGATGGTCGACCTTGTGAAGTGGCAGAAGCAGCAGAAATAGATGCCCCACTTGTAGACATACTTTTTGTTGCTAGCCGACTGTCCTCGATGCACTGGGGTAGCTAACCTATATACTGTAGACCTGCTCCACACTGCAGCATCACCCACACACTGGCAAATACACACCCTGTCTCTGGCTCTCTCTCACACACACACAGGCACAAACAGGCAAGCACACATTTGCGGGGAGAGGCTCAAATCAGGCCGCACATGCTGTAAGCTACTGCTGAGTTAAGTCACCTGTGCTGCTAGCCTAGCTTGCTGGCGGGCAACCAGCTGCTCCTCTAATTAAGAGTCCATCTACTCAAGGGGCCTGCACATATGAAGGGCTCTATAGCTTGGTACTGGTCTTATAATAGATAGCAATGCCATACGGTTGGGTACTGTTCAGACTTCTAAAAGTTGGACATACTGTATTAGGTTTAGAAGGTTACTGTGGGCCTGCCCTGGCACTTTGCAGTAAAGAAGCATACACAGGAGTATTGTAAATGTAGTGATGCAGAATACTATGATACCTCGAACCCTATTAATAGCTTTACTCCTTTTGGATGGACCAAAACTAAATATCTGTCATGCTAATATCACAGCTTTCCACCTGCAGAGTAGATGAGACACTTAGTGGCACTACCTGAATTCAAATGATTACCCACCAATTAATCAAACCACTTCACCTCAGAGAGGCAATATAATTAAGTGAATCTTCAAAAATGAAATCTCTCGTCTTATATATACACTGTACTGTAGGATCAAAGACAGAGCATCTTTCTCACTACCCTCCCGGTGAGGCAAATCAAGGTGATTGTCTGAAATTAGTTTTAATGAAATTAATTGAAAGTAATCAGACTTCCAGGGAAAAAAAAATACGGAAAAATCTGCAACCTCTCAATACACAGTCCACTCTATTTTTTGGCTTTGGGCTTTTTGACCAAAGAAAAACATCTAGACAAAAATAACGAATCAAAGCAAAAGTAGTTCAGCTAAATGCACACTGTGTTAATGGCATCACCATATTAAAGTGCAAAAAAAGTCATATGAATCACAACAACACATAAAACACAAATACCCACCATAAAGAGCAAATTATACCGTCTGGGGCATAAATGCAACCCATTTGACTGAAAGTACTTTGACACTTTCAACGGCTTTTTTATTGACTTTGCTGTCCAAAGCCAGGACTAATGGCAGCTCCACAAAACAAACACACTCACACTTGCATAGGCAGATGCATGGGCATGAATACAAATATGCACATAAACACATACTGCACACACAAACTCACACCTTTGCTTACCTCCAGTACCAACAAACATACAATTATGTGAGGCCATTTCAGGCTACATTATGAGAAATGCATTAGTCAGTGATGGAAAATGGAGTACAGTGCAGAAGAATCTAAGGCTGTGCGCACGTGTCATTTGTGTGCATGTGTGAGAAAGTGAACAAGAAAGAAATGGAGAGAGGGAACTTTAAATGAAGAATGATGACAGTTATGGTAGAATGACAGGATTCAGGTGTAACTTCATGCAAACACAGTCAAAAGGGCATTTTCCTGAGCCATAGTAAGGTATTTTCCTTGCATGCACATGTTGTGGTGATTCCTTGTCATGGTCTACAGAAGAAATATTCAAATTAGGGGGAGTGTTACTATCAATCCAGCAATGCACTGCAATTTTGATGTCAAAATTCACTGTATTGTCTGCTGCCTACACACTGCGTGGATGTGGACAAGTGTGCACTACACAAAGTGATTTTAGTTGGTGAACACACAATCCGTATAGAACCTTTGAAAATCCCAAGATGCATGTCTGTTTCTTAGCTGCATCATTCATTAGCAACAACAACAAAAAGGCCTATCCATTCAACTGATTAACTCCCTTTATTGCCATCTCAGGGCAGCAGGTACTGTGTGTGTTCGCTCTGTAGTCTTTAATTTGAGGGGCACACATTGTTAAAGACACACCAGATCCACTGTGAATACCTTAATCAGATCTTGTTCTGCCACCACCAGGATGTCACAAAATAACCGTGCAAGCCCCACTCATCAAACCAGTCTGTTATACTTCAGACTGCAAAATCATCACAGGTGTTAGAGGCAATGGTGCTGTCCAAATTAACTGGACAAACAAAGTTCACTGAGTTCTATAAAAACCCTTTTACTTCCTCTCTAAGTTAGAGAACACACAGGACCATGCACTGTTAGTCTTGTTTCCAGGGGGATCTAGCAAATGTTAATACCTGAAACTTCCCACTTTCAGCAGCAACAGACTTGTGGCCACAGTGAACAACATAATGTGATAGAGCAGAATCACCACTGCTCATTTAGTTATTAGTTTATTTTATAGTTACAATATTCACTACTCCACTGTAAAACTGTCATTAATGACTTTTGTGACGTAACTAAAATGTGCCAGTGTGACTGATCATGACTCTCACAGGTTGTAAACATCCACACCAGTAGTTTGTAGTGTCCTTCTACTATCCCTCTAGGATAGTACCAAACTGCGCATCATCTTGAGCATGGAGCTGCTGACCATCTTTGCAGCCTAATACCTGATTTATGAAACTAACAAACTCTGTCTCTCCAGTTGTCTCCCTCTCTCTCTCTCTCTGACTATGTCCTGCACATGAAGGCTGAAGCTATTTTTAACTGTATAACTTTATACTACAGTTTAAGCACACTATGCAATTAAAGTTAGACAGTAGTGGAAAAGATATTTGTTGTTCTGCAGCACATACATAAAAATGAACAGAGGAAAAGTTTTATTTCTATTATGTGCAACTATTGCACATTTACTTTGTACTTGCCATTGTATGAGTAAAGTCAAGCATTTTCTGTGGTGGTGTGTGTGTGTGTGTTAGAGTGGGTATTGTGCACCCACTCATTCTCAGTATGACACAGCTTTCTGTCTCTTGCCAACTTTATAAGCAGCAGGATTAAAGCTATAAAAGAAACATCAGAGCAAAAGAGGAGATGAAAAAAGTTTTTTTGAAGGAAGAAACATTTTTAAAAAAGACCCCAAAACTCTGCTCTGGTTCCTGTGGCAGCCATTTTGAGAAAGTCATCCATTAAGTCTGAAGTCTGCTGCGTTCCCATACTGTCAACCCCTAGTGAAGCCAAAGAGGCAGTGTCACCTAAGGGTGTTAAGGCAGGCAGACAGGGACTGTAGGAAGCAACAGCACTCTCTCTGACAACTGTGGGAATTGGATGAAGGAGGGGAGGAGAAACAGTGGACTACAATATGAATGTCACTGGAGTACATCTTTAGAAAAAGAAAGATGGATTAGAGGTTTAGCTTTGTGTGAAAAGAACCTGTTCCAGAGATGTAAAAGAAAGGACAGAAAAGTGCAGAGACGGCTGGATGATCACAGGTAGGACACAAAGGAGGAGGACAGAAAAGGAAAGAGCTCAAAGTAAAGAGTTTCATTAAAACTGAGCATCATTTAGCGAGATACAATCATACAGAGTCAGGGTTCCTTACATAAAGTACATTCTCCGTGCTAGAAATGTAGTGCACAATGCATTGTTTATGCATTTGGAGAGCAAATGAAAGACAGTATGTGGTCTGTAACTCACCTCTGGCCCCATGTGTTCTGTCTGTGTTGTGCGGTCAGTCATTTGGCAGTCTTTCATCCTCAGGGCAGCTTTGGCACTCTCCTACGTACAAAAAAAACACATACCCATCAGCTGTATCCAAAATCCCACAAAAAAAGAACATCAAACATGTATAAATGAGAACAACTAAATACTCTGCCAGTAGACTTATGCCGTGCCTCCACTCACAACACTTAGTACAGTTGGCTTCCAAGCTTTCAAAGGGAAAAAACCTCAACAAATCCAAATCCATTTCTCCCTTTTGGCTGCTTCTCCTGAAAATCTAAGAGGCCATAAAACTGGGCGGAAATGAAGAAGAACTTTTCTACAGCCAAATATTCCAGAAGGGGCCCACCTAAAAGTGCACCAGCAGAGAAAAATTCATAAAAAGTGACAGCTAGTGCTGGCTAGCTCACTGCAAAGGTCCTTCTAGGAGATAATTAATAGGTTTCCTCTGGCAGACTTACAGACGAAGGTGCAGAGAGAAAAGTGTCTGCCCTTTCTTTCAGAATACAACACTTTTACCTTGACCTGGAAGTTGCAGACTCTTGTGTTACCTCTATGTGATTATTTTGAAAAAGCAGGTTGCAAGTCTTCTGAATTAGAAGGACCCAGCACTATTTCCACCGACAGCATTTTATGACAACATCACTAATCATTCTGATGCGCTCACCACACTTCTCTTAGGGCTGGGAAACAGAAGGGCTTGAAAGTTGCAGTGGCTATGAAATACTGATAAATTCATTTGATTTTGATTTATTTATTCTTTCAAACATGTAAAGACAGTTGATATATCAACACACATAATTTTACACATATCCAACAAATGCTAATCCAATATCAATTTGCTTATACCTAGTACATGCTTGAATGGAGTAGGAAGAAGTCAGACTTATCCAGTCCTACCCCATGACATCATCTTACATCATTGGTTTGCAAGCAGTATCTCTACATAGATAATTCTCTTCTACACCACACAAGTAATATACTAAAAAAATT